CTCACAGTGACCTCTGCCTCCTGGGTTCAAGCTATTTCCCCTGCTTCAGCCTCCCCAGTAGCTGGGATTACAGAAGTTTGACCATGTTGGCCAGGCTGGTCTCGAACTCCTGACCTTAGGCAGTCCGCCCACCTCAGCCTCCCAAAGTGCTGGGATTACAGGCATGAGCCCCCGAGCCCCGCATAACACAATTTTTAATGTGTTTTGGTTTCATATAAGAAAATTGCATTTTAAATCAAATGCTTTATAAAAGAGCCCCACTAGATTTTAGACACATTTTGTCTTTTAGACACAAAGAGAGGCAGAGAGGGTGGTTGCAGAGGAGCTTGTAAAATAAAGGAATCAAGGGAGAGCTGATGGGAGGCAGAAAGGAAGATCCTAAATTGGGAGGTGTGTCTGTCTGGACAAGATTAAGACTCTAGTGAACCCCAATCCAAACATACGACCTTCCCTTTGAGGAAAATCATGGCAGAGTTACTCTGTGGACAGCACAAGCCTGCCTAAAAACTCTTCTATTGAATGCAAGGAATGAAAACAGGGTTCTTTTTAATCAAGCGAATAAGACTTCCTTTCAAGAGGTAAGTTTGCTAGACTTGGGAACTTAATGGCTGCATTAAAGGAAACACATCTCCACACGGATCTGGCCACAAGACTTGTGAGAGCGCTTGGATAATGTGGTCAGCCTTCCTTGGCATCGTGGTATGTGCAATATAAGATTAATAAACTGAGGCCCCGGGAGGTCTGTGGACACCCTGAAATCCTATGCAAGTTTTACATCTATGTGCACATCTGCATTTTTATGGTAACATGCATTTTCTTCCCATGGCTTCTATCAAACTCTCAAAGGGGCCAATGACCCAGAAAGGTTGAAAATTAATGTAACAGAAAAAGCATGAGCTTTGGATTCAGAGAGAATTGAGTTAAAATTGTAATTTACTTAGCGCGGGAACTTGAATGAGTTGAATCTTTAAAATTACAATATGTACTTATATGTAATTGTATACTTTAAAATAACATTTAAGTACCTAGTACAGTGTCTGCCACATGCTAGGTACTTTGTGAGTGTAACTTATTTTTTTTATTTGAGACAGAATCTCACTCTGTCGCCAGGCTGTAGCACAGTGGTGCTATCTCAGCTCACTGCAACCTCTGCCTCCCGGGTTCAAGCGATTTCCCTGCCTCAGCTTCCTGGGTAGGTGGGATTACAGGCATGCATCACCGCGCCCAGCTAATTTTTATATTTTTAGTAGATAGGGGTTTTCACCATGTTGGCCGTGATGGTCTTGACCTCTTGACCTTGTGGTCTGCCTGCTTCAGCCTCCTGAAGTGCTGTGATTACAGATATGAGCCAGCACGCCTGGCCACGAGTATAATTATTTTATAGATGCCTCATCCGAGCAGTCTGGCATCCCAGTTCTCCCAATTCTTTTTTCTGGCAGAGCATCCATTTTGTTCAAGTGACTCTTACACTCTCATGTGCCATGGTGGGTCTAAGCCACATAAATATTTTCTTTTCCTTTGTTTACAATACAAACCCTTCACAGTTTATATTCTAAGCTACATAAATATTCTTTCCCTTTCCCCAGTCTCTGCCATTGGGACCACCATGTGGGCGTCCTCCTGTATCTGCCGTATATTAGCAATGATTGATACACACATTTCACGGCATCTTGCTTAGCACATTGCAAAGCCCTTCTGACCACTGTAAAACAGTACACGTCCTTGAGAAGCCCAGTAGCAGAACCGTAAACCACACCTCCCGAGCCCAGTCCTTCTCATCTGTGGAATGCATGCCAACTACTTTGGGGGTTGCTCTCAGTTGCCGTTTACGATCTTGACTAACGGCAGGGGACTGTTCCTGATGCTCCCTTTGGGACAGAGCATTCTGTTGGCTTGCAAAGACAAATCATTGGGACTCACAACAGTCGTTTTGCATATCAAATCCTCAGCTTGGGCTGTCAACTTTGAGAGTAGAGGACACTTCTCATTTACGTGACATCTACTCACCAAGCTTGCTTGAGAGGAGGAGCAGGCTTTCCATGGGCATGACAACTAACTCCGTCCCCTACTTATAGCAGATGATTCAGGAAATCAAGGTCTGCCTGCCTTTTATAAAAATAAAAATAGAGATTTTTAAAAAGTAAATACAGGCTGAGTATGGCGGCTTGTGCCTGTAATCCCAGCACTTTGGGAGGCTGACGCAGGCAAATCATGAGGTCAAGAGATTGAGATCATCTTGGCCAACATGGTGAAAGCCCATCTCTACTTAAATCACAAAAATTGGCCTGGCATGGTGGCACGCACCTGTAGTCCCAGCTACTCAGGAGGCTGAGGCAGGAGAAATACTTGGACCCGGGAGGCGGAGGTCACAGTAAGCCGAGATTGCGCCATTGCACTCCAGCCTGGGCAGCAGATCAAGACTCAGTCTCAGAAACAAAAAACAAAAGTAACTGCATTGGCCACACAGAATTCAAGTTCAGGCCTATATCAGAAAAACAACATACTGACTTTGCTTTTGAAATATCAGTTCTAGGGTTTACGGGATAGCTGGTTAACATTTTACTTTCGATCCAAGAGTCTAGTTTGCAGGTTCGGGACATCTAGGCCTTAGCTAATTATGTCATTTTAACTCTGGAGTCTTCTCTCTGGGAATCCAGGTGCACTGACCCTTTGAGTTATTTCATTCACTATCCATCTAAATCTGAGCTCCCCTACCACACACTGTAATGGGGTAGGTTTAGCAGTTCCCCAGGATCTGTAAGAATTCTCAGGAACCTCCTGCTGCCTCTCACCATAACTTCTGTGTCCAGTAAGCTCTGCCTCTTGCTCCCTGAAGCTGCTCTGTTCTCCATCCTCTGTTTCCAAGGACCAGTCCCTAGGCTTTACTTCCCAGGTTGCACTAACACAAGCTCTTGTGAGTAGTTACCTTTCCCCAAAATCTTGGGACCAAAGTGGTCACATCATAGTATACACTAGGCAGCAACTTGCAAACAAATGAAGACATCTCCATGCAAACGTGCCTGCCTACCTGTAACCCTCCAGCCACTTCTCCTGGTTTCCCTCTCTTTGGCAGGGTGACAAGCCTCCTCTTTCTTTGAACGTGGAGAATCCCCTTCCTACCCACCTCTCTTTCCATTCCAACGCTCCTTGACTTCCTCGCCCTCTGGAGAGGACTAATGTGCTAATTTGTTATATGAAATAATTTAGTTATTTTTGTTGCGACTTCTTTGTTCCATAGGGTTCAAAGAAGCCAGATGTTTTTCTAACAAGATAGTCTCCCACACCTTCCCCAGTGGTTCTCACTCTCCAGTTTGTAGTTTCAGAGCATTATTTGTGTGTATGTGTGTTTAAAATAACCACTGTTTCCTTCCCATGAAACAAGAAATACACTTATCAACCACAAGTATATCCACACCCATCAAGAATTTTCCTTTTTAAAGACTTCTAAGGTTCTAAATTACTATAGTCTTTTTCTATGTAAATCCTCCTGGGGAACTCATAAGGAAAGAATCCAAGACAATCAAGCAAATAAAAGCTATGTTCAGGAAGATATTCACTGCAGAGTTCTTATAATAGTAAAAATTTGAAAACAACCTAAAAGTCCAATAATGAGAAAATGGTTAAGTAAATGATTATAGCTACTCGGGGGGTATTCTATAGTCGTTTGAAGGATAGTCACAAAGACATAAAGCAATAAGCAGAATAACTGTGATACAGTACTTTTCACAAACAGGATGTAAACTTATAGATGAGGGCAGCAAACTGTTTGCAAATGCATGTTTAGGAAGCATACAGAAAGAAGCATATGGAAGTGTCAGAGTGACAAGGACTACGGCTTTTTGTCGTTTGTTTTTCTCTGTATAGCAATTCCTCCATAATAAAATTACATTCGTTCTATTAAGTGTAAATGTAGAAATTACGTTAATTATTATTATTATTTTTTGAGATGGAGTCTCGCTCTGTCTCCCAGGCTGGAGCACGATGGTGCAGTCTCGGCTTACTGCAACCTCTGTCTCCTGGGTTCAAACGATTCTCATATCTCAGCCTCCTGAGTAGCTGGGATTACAGGCGTGTGCCACACCTAATTTTTCTTTTATTTTTTTGTATTTTTAGGAAAGATGTGGTTTCGCCATGTTGCCCAGGCTGGTCTCAAACTCCTGGCCTCAAGTGATCTGCCCACCTTGGCCTCCCAAGAGCTGGGATTACAGGTGTGACCTACCACACCCAGCCTAATTTTTAAAATAAATATAATTTTAACATTTGGGATCATCCTGAAAAACATAAAATTTTAAGTCAAAAAATTGACATAAACAGTTAATGTGTAAACCTAGCATTTCATATAAATCTCCATGAGAGGGCCGGGCACGGTGGCTCAAGCCTGTAATCCCAGCACTTTGGGAGGCTGAGGAGGGTGGATCACGAGGTCAAGAGATCGAGACCATCCTGGTCAACATGGTGAAACCCCGTCTCTACTAAAAATACAAAAAATTAGCTGGGCATGGTGGTGCGTGCCTGTAATCCCAGCTACTTGGGAGGCTGAGGCAGGAGAATTGCCTGAACCCAGGAGGTGGAGGTTGCGGTGAGCCGAGATGGCGCCATTGCACTCCAGCCTGGGTAACAAGAGCGAAATTCCGTCTCAAAAAAAAAAAAAAAAGAAAGAAAAATCTCCATGAGATGTCTAAACTCTATTCAATAAATTCATCTTCTATTTTTTTAACTTAATTTTTGTGGGTACACAGTAGGTGTATATATTTATGGATTACATGGGATATTTTGATACAGGTATGCAATTCATTATAATCCATCAGGGTAAATGGGGTACCCATCACCTCAAGCATTTATCCTTCATGTTACAAACAATCCAACTAGACTCTTTTAACTATTTTTAAAAATACATTAAGTTAGTTTTTACTATAGTCACCTGTTGTGTCAGCAGATACTAGCTCTTATTCATTCTTTCTGTTTTTTGAACCATAAAATTCACCTTTTATTAATTTCAGTGGCACCCTGCTTATTGGTCAGCATCTCTCTTCGGAATGTGGTCAAGAAACTCATAAACGTAAAAAGTAGAAGGATTCTAGCAAGCAAAAGAATGCGAAAGCCTGCAGACTTTGCTCACAGCCTCTCGCTACGAGCCAGTGAGGTTCATTCTCACCACAATTCTAGGCTGTCCACAGCATGTGAGAAGCAGGAAATTGAAAACCGGATGGGGCTGTGGAAAGTCACATTTTCGGCCGGGCGCGGTGGCTCACACCTGTGATCCCAGCACTTTGGGAGGCCGAGGCAGGCAGATCACAAAGTCAAGATATCAAGACCATCCTGGCCAACATGGTGAAACCCCATCTCTAAAAATACAAAAATTAGTTGGTGGCATGTGCCTAGTCCCAGCTACTTTGGAGGCTGAGGCCGGAGAATCGCTTGAACCCGGGAGACGGAGGCTGCAGTGAGCCAATCCCACCATTGCACACCAGCCTGGTGACAGAGCGAGACTCTGTCTCAAAAAAAAAAAAAAAAAAAAAAGTGACATTTGCCAGCTTAACAGTGAAGTCCAGGGGTAGGGAAAAAGACCCCAAAGTGGACCCAAACATTTTGAATGTAACCTAATACTGGAAGCCAAGCATAATTTTATTCCAGCATTTTCTACGGCAGTTGGCTCTAATGATGACATCAGAGTCCTCAAAGGCACGACTTAACCTACGTGGGTCACTGTCTAGTCAGAGAAACGTGGAATACGCATTTTAGAAAGAATTTCATTTAATCTGGTTTCTTTTCAAAATGTATTTTAGGTACTTGCTTTGCCTTAAAACACACACACAAGCAAACAAACAAAAAAACCACGGACAACTCTAAGGGATTGCTCACTCCTCCATTACAGGGAATACAAGAGTCATACTTGAGCTCTTCTGGAAAAAGTGGCAATTTACAGAAGCTGCCTCCTCACACATTCCTCCTTTTGCTCTGTTGCTAATGAAGCACTTGGAGAACAAGATTTCAGTCCCAAAGCTTGCAGCTTGTCCTTTGGCCTCGTTTTGCAGACCCTCCACCACCCCCGCTGGTTTTCCCTCTTCACCCGGTCCCCCCACTCACTTATCGCAAGCTTGAGCTATACCAGTCCCCGGGGAATTCAAATGGAGATATGTAAATGTCAGTTGCTATTATAGCTAACAAGCAGCTCTTTCGCCTGGATCTCCGAACACTGCCCTGAGAGATGCCAGCGTATCACAACAGTCCCGGCTGTTTGGAAAGTTTTCAGGTTGTTTGCTTTAATGGATTTGCTCCAAGTGAGGCGCGTGTTTTTCAAAACCGAATGCCAAAGATAACAAAAAATGCAAAGGAGAGGAGAAAGGGAGACTTATCCCGAGTACAGGAGTGAACCAGGATAAGACTTACTAAACAGCAGAAATGTTCAAGGGCACCGGAGTCTCTCCCACATTTAGAATGACCCAGAAACACTGAGGTTAAAAACAGTGCACACGGTCACTTAGAAACCAGTGATTTGGGCCCCAGAATGTGTTTGACATCTTCTTCGTGTCTCTTGGGGAATAGGTCAATGTGTTATTCCGTTACTTAAGCTGTTTACAGCTGTATTTGAGTGGTCTTTGTTGACAAAGTTGTTTCCAAGTAATTCTCTAAAAACATTCTGATTGCTGTTCCCTGTCATTAGCTACTGTAATTTGTTTTCGGGGTTGATGGTCAGCACCATAATTGCACTTAGCACACTGAATGGGTTTGCGTGATTGTCTGGTGCATTTCTGTGTTAAACTTATTGCTGTTTCTTGAACCCACTTTGGATTTAAAAGAGTCTGCCATTTACATCTCTAAAGAAGATAATGGAGAGTGATTACTTTTGTGTTAATTATAATTTAGCATTTATGTAGCACTTGTATTTCCGAAGGCATTACAGTCATTTATGAATTATCCAGCCCTGTAGCCTTGAGCTCTAAGCCATTTGGATTCTCTCTGATTTCTAGATAAGTCACGAGGCTGGGGAAGTGCAGTTGGCTGATGAGAGGTCCCTCCCTTCCTGTTAGGATTCCCACCCTTTTTCCAGGACACCCCACCCACCTGGGATCTGCACAGGCTGGCTTCATTACTTTGTTTGAAGTTTTATGTTTGATGTTCTTTGAAACTGTGTATAAAATACATTCCAAAGTCACATATAGATTATTTTTGGATTATCTGATGTTTTGAATATAATTATTCACTTCCATTCATTCATTTACCCCTTCATTAGACCCTGAAGTGAGCACTCCCCTCTATTTCAGGCAATGAGTTAGGCTCTGGGGAGAGGAGAGCTGCAGTTTTACCATGCAGATAACGAAGAACACAGTGGAAAATAGGGTCAGATGAGATGTGTAGTGCTGTCCGAAGAAACCAGTGGAATTGTTTCTTTTTGGAAGATCAGGGGCAGTGTTTTTTGAGCTGGAACTCGGAAACTCCAGTTTTGTGTTTGTGCATTGGGTGGGAGATGGGGAGGGGAGGGTGAAGAAGACATGGAGATAAACAGCATTATTCCAGGGCGACAAGACAACATGAAAAATGGAAACCTGGAAAACAGTCACTTATTTGCCCTGATTGGAGGGTTTTTTTGGTAAGGAATGACGGTAAATGAGGCTGGAAAATTATTTTGGAGCAAGGTTGTAGATGATCTGGTGCTGTCTGCTTAACAGAGTGAACTTCTCCATTAAGCCATTAATGTCCAATGAATCCACAACTGGACTACAAATGAGTGGAAGTAGCCAGAAGTACCAAGAAAGCAATAGATACCACTGCATACACCACATGGGATAAAGTTAGAGAGATGAGTTACGTGGATGTAAAACCCAATGACCAGATAGCCAAGAGAATGAAAGCAAGGCCAAGAGCACCTGTGTATTAGGAAGGAGAAGTGAGTCTTAAGCAAGTGATAAATTATATGAAAAGATGGTGAAACCAACAAGAGTCACTGAGGAGAGTTTTCTGATGTTCTGCTAATAGAGAAATCACTTCTTAAAGATCACCTCCCAGCTTCACTCACTCATTTATTCATTTATTTGTGGGCGATTAGAAGGTTCACTACTCTGTGAACGCCCAGTCTTACTCACAGAGTCCTCTGCCTCCATACACTTCTGACTGTTGCCAGAACCTAATCTATTTCTAGAAGGCTTGTTTTTGAGACACTGGAAATATTTGTTATTGTACTGAGTATATCAGCAAGGCCACCACCAGTCACCATAGCTCACTGTGTGGTTTTTACATGGATTTCCCCTAAATGCCACCCCCACCTGCCATTAAAGGATGAATTCCACATACCCCTTCCCCCACCAAACTCACATGTTGAAGTCCTCATGCTCAGTATCTTAGAATGTAACCTTATTTGGAGATACGGTCCTTACAGAGGTAATCAAGTTAAAATAAGGTCAAGTTAAAATCAAGTTAAAATTAGGTGGACCTTAATGCAGTCTGACTGCCGTCCTTACAAAGGGAGAAATCTGGACACAGAGACACACCCAGAAGAAAGGCAGTTTGAAGAGACCCAAGGAGAAGATGGACATCTACAGCCACGGAGAGAGGTCTGAGCAAATCCTCCCCTCTCAGCCCTCAGAAGTAACCGGTCCTTTGAAAGGCCAAGGTGGGTGGATCATCTGAGGTCAGGAGTTCAAGACCAGCTTGGCCAAATGGTAAAATCCCATCTCTACTAAAAATACAAAAATTATCCAAATGAGTTTGCAGATGCCTATAATTCCAAGCGTTTGGGAGGCTGAGGCAGCAGAATCACTGGAACCCAGGAGGTGGAGGTTGCAGTGAGCTGAGATTGTGCCTCTGCTCAGGCCTTGATTTTGGACATCTAGCCTCCAGAAGAGTGCGACAATACCTTTCCGTGTTTTAGCCACCCAGTTATTAGCCCTTTTGTTAAGACAGCCTTAGCAAACTAACACCCACCTCCAACACCTTGATCGGTGGAATTCCCTCGCCCTTCCTGTGCTCATCAGCATGAATAAGAACCCCCAGAACCGACAGTGCTTTGATGAGCTGCTGCTGCCTTTTGAATGAAGTACTAGACGGTGAGCCTGGCCTGAAAGTTTCCTTCGAGTTGTCCTGCTCAAATGACTGTGGGTATAAGAACAAGTATTTAAATACTACTTTTTCTGGATCAAAGTATAAAAGGAATGAGTTACTTCAGAGGTTGCCACAACTTCGGAGCCGGTGCCACACTGCAGCAGGTGCAGATTCTCACATAGACGGAACTCTTCTGTAAGAAGAGAGCACCAGCTGAATTCTAAGCAAGTTCGAAACACGCACGTGCTGCCTCTTGCTGAAGATGTGTGAATAAACCAGCACCCAAGTCAGCAGCCTCCTTATCCCTTCCTTTCTTAAAGCAATTTTCAAGACAAGCTCAAACAGTACTCTCACAGTTGGTTACTACAGGAGTTAATGACTCCAAGCTCAAAAGGAATGACTTTTTAAAAAATTTTCCATTTGACAAACGTTTCCCTAAGGCGACAGCTTTTACCCCCTGCCTACTCCCCTAGCCGAAGTTAGCAACCACATATTAATTAGTTGAAGCCAAATCTCAGGAAGCACTAGTCTTTTCCTTTTAAGCATACTAAGTGTGTGTTAGAAGGCAAGTTACGTCTAAATTACCTGAAAGTCTCTTGTTAGGTGTGCGGAAAGTTTTCTGCTACGTAAGTTTTACAAGGTACCTAAGTCAAGCACCTTTCATCTCAGTAGGACTGACTCTCTCTCAAGACAGTTATTTGCCCACATGAAATAGAGAGGTAACAAGAATGTGTCCTTCTCCAGAGCATTGCCTCACCAAATGTCCAGATTTCATAGCAAAGACATCAATTTTAGAGTCAAGCGTTGCTTTCGCTTCTGCATCAAAATGTAGCAGTGTTGAAGAACTAACCTGTGGGTCTCACTGCCCAGTGCAAAATCAAAATGTGGTGCCCTTTGTTCAAAAAGCGGGAAAAAATGTCATTAAAGGTACTAAAATGTAGTAAAGCTTTTCCTTTTCTTCTGTGGTCTTGATTTGTCTTTTTAAATATATATGTAATATTTAACTTGTAATCTGATTTCATTCTAAGTAAAGGAAACTTATTTTAAAAGACTAGCATAATTTTTCTATTCATCTTATATGAGGCAATGACCTGTTTGTTTTTGAGACAGGGTCTCACTCTGTCACCCAGGCTGGAGTGCAGTGGTGCTATCACACAACTCACTGTAGCCTCCAGCTACTGGGCTCAAGTAATCCTTTCAGTTCAGCCTCCTGAGTAGCTGAGACTACAGGCATTCCCCACCACACCAGGCTAATTTTTTGTCTTTTTTTGTAGAGATGGGTTTCACCATGTTGCCCAAGCTGGTGTTGAACTCCTGGGCTCAAGTGGTCCTCCCACCTCAGCCTCCCAAAGCGCTGGGATTACAGGTGTGAGCCACTGTGCCTGGCCGCAATGACCATTTTAAGTGGCATTTAACTTGTATGTGAAATCACCAAAATTACACAATTCATATTTTACAGCTTGTACATGCATAAGTGTTTTATTCTTGCCAGGACAGTGGAAACACTGCCCCAAACGATTGAACCTGTTTCAATTTCTCTTCTTGACTCTCACCCTCACTGCCTTTATCCCACGGAGGAGTAAGGAAGGTCAGAGAGAGAAGGGAATGACGGGTGGCCTGGCCTGCCTTTCTCCTTCCTCCATGTTGTCATTTTCAGCTTATGTGGTTGGCTAACACAGGGGAGAAACATGAGCAAAAAGGGTTAGAATGGGAATTTGTGGTCATCCGTGCTTCTTTGAACACCACTGCCTTCCTTCTGTGTTTGAAGCAGGTCCTGGTTTGAAGGGAAAAGATGGTTCCTAGGGGCTTTTGGAGACCCTGCCCCCTGAGTCGTAGCCATAACACACTTAACGTTGTACTCACGCTGAGTCTTGCCAAATTCCCATGCATGTGGGTCCACTGTAATTCTGTGCCCATGGGGGTATGGTGAGCAGTTTTTGTGAATGTCAGGGAATGGCTAAAGACACGCATATTGCTCATATCTTCTTCTTCTTTTTTTTTTTTTTGAGACGGAGTTTCGCTCTTGTTACCCAGGCTGGAGTGCAATGGCGCAATCTCGGCTCACCGCAACCTCCACCTCCTGGGTTCAGGCAATTCTCCTGCCTCAGCCTCCTGAGTAGCTGGGATTACAGGCACATGCCACCATGCCCAGCTAATTTTTTGTAGTTTTAGTAGAGGCGGGGTTTCACCATGTTGACCAGGATGGCCTCGATCTCTTGACCTAGTGATCCAGCCGCCTCAGCCTCCCAAAGTGCTGGGATTACAGGCTTGAGCCACCGCGCCCGGCCTGCTCATATCTTCTCTATTCACACAAGCTCCACTGGCCCATCAGACTTCACTTACAAAACGTAAGTTCAAAGACAAAATTATTAACACTCTCAAGACTGCACAGCATTAAGCCCAGGCCAGGCCTTTCTGGGTACAGGGTCGTGTGTCACTGCATGGGTTATGCAACCATAAAGCTGGCTCTGGTACCACAATGTGCCATGTGAATGACAGTCCTTTTTCTATATAGATGGAAAACTCCCATCTTTCACCTAAGCACGTTAAAGCATTTTATTTAGTAAATAACATGTCGCCTTACCCCCTAACTCACCGATTCCCCGCATCTCTCTCTTCTTAATGCCCACAACCTTCCACTTGCTCCCTTTTGATCTCAATGCCTTCATTTCTCTCTCAGTATCCCTCAAGGGTGCTATGCACATTTGGCTTGTTTTGTTAGCTGTTACATGTTGAATTGCCCCCGTACCCCGCAAAGAGATATATTGGCGCCCTACATCCTATCCCTCAGTCTCAGGATGTGTCCTTATTTGGAGAAAGAGTTTTTGCAGAGGTAATCAGGTTGTAATGAGGTCACTGGAGTGAGTCTAATCCAATCTGACTTGTGTCCTTATAAAAAGGGAAAATTTAGACACAGAAACAGATACAGTATCAGTCAGACTGGACCACTGTAACAAAACACCACAGACTGGGCGGCTTAGACAACAGAAACGAATTTTCCCACAGTTTTGGAGGCTGGGAAAACCAATATCAAGGTGCCTGCAGATTCCGTTATTGAGGAGGGCTCTCTTCCTGGCTTGCAGGCAGCCGCCTTCTTGCTGTGCCTTCAGTGGCACAGATAGAGAGTAAGCTCTTAGGTGTCTAAATTCCATCATGAGGGTTTTAATCCCATCATGAAAGTCCCACCTTCATGACCTCATGTAAACCTAATTATCTCCCAAAGGCCTTATCTCCAAACCATCACATTTAGGTTTAGGGCTTTCACATATAAATTTTGGGGAGAAACAATTCAGTTCATTGCAGATGTAAAGAGACACAGGGAGAAGGTGGCCATCTACAAATCAAGAAACAAGGACTAAAACAGAGCCTCTCACAGCTTTCAGAAGGAACCAATTCTGCTGACACCTTCATCTTGGACTTCAAGCCTCTAGAATTACAAGAAAATAAATTTCTATTAATTACACCACTTTGTTTGTGGTACTTAGTCATGACAGCCCTAACAAACCTATCCATTTGCCTTGCTTTCATCTCTTTATTTGTGTAAGGTCCTGTAAGATTGGAAATGCCTTTCTCCAGATACTTTGCTGCTTTTTGTCATAAGCTACAACCATAAACTCAGCCCATATCCAGCCATCCTGGAACATCTAAGGTATATTAAAATCTGTTAAGTCCTATTCTTGGTAAGACATGGGGGTAAGTGACTCAGCCCACCATTGAAAACAAGACGATGTTTTGTCTTGGACAAGACGATGAGATAGTCCTACATGTGAAGAGAGTTCATGGAGCCAGAGATGATGCTAAATAATAATCGATGCTTACGACGTATCAGCATTTTGTATGCACAGACTCAGTTCTTATGACAATTCCATGATTCGAATTTTAAAGCGCAGATATACGAATGAGGTAGGTGCTGCTATATACCCTTTTACAGATGAGAACGGTGAGTTACAGGGAAATCAAGGCGCTTCCTTAACATCACACAACTTGTAACTGAAAAGGATCTAGACCTTGAGCTTTTAATCGCTATGCTCTTCTACCAAGACATTTAACGTTAGCAACAGAAAAACAAATGAATTTGGAACTCTACCTCACACCATATACAAAAACTAACCCAGAATGGATTGAAGATCTAAACACAGAAGCAAACTGTAAAACTTGGAGAAGACAACAAAGATGTGACTCTTTTTGGCCTAGGATTAGGCAATGATTCCTTGGATATAGTACAAAACACACAAAACAAAAGCAAAAGAAAAGATAAATGAGTTGGACTTAACCAAAATCAAAAACTTCTGTGCCTCAAAGGATACTTCCAAGAAAGTGAAAAGACAATTTACAGAATAGGAGAACACATTTGCAAATCACATATGTGACTAGTCAGGGTCTAGTATCCACAATATATAAAGAACTCTTAACACTCAATGACAAAAAGGTGAACAACACAATTTTAAAAATTGTCATAGGACCTGAATGGGCACTTGTCATAGGACCTGAAGGTGTGCAATGGCCAACAAGCACATATAAAGATGGTCAGTAGTATGTGATTAGGGAAATACAAGTCAAAGCTGTAATGAGATGCCACCTCACAATAAAAGGGGACAACAACAAATGTGAGACAGGAGGTGGAGAAATTAAAAGCTCATACCTTACTGGTGGAACTGTAAAATGGGGAAGCCACCTAGGAAACAGTTTGGCAGCTCTTCAAAAAGTTAAACATAGTGTTACCATATGACACAGCAATTTTACTCCTAGGTATACACCCAAGAGACCGGAAACATATTTTTCACATTCAGGAACAAAAACTGATCCATAAATGTTCATACCAGTATTATTCATACTAGCCGGAAATTAGAAGTAAACCAACGTCCATCAACTGATAACCATAGAAACAGAACACGTATAGTCATACAATGGAATATTATGCAGCCGGACAAAGGAGTTCGTGACTAACACATCTTACATGGATGAACCGTGGAAACATTATCTTATATGAAAAAAGCCAGGCAAAAGGTTACATATTATTTGATTCCACTTAAATGAAATGTCCATAATAGGCAAATTTATAGAGACAGGAAGTAGATTGTGGTTACCAAGGGTTCAGGGGAGAGGGAATATGGAGTTATCATGACTGGGTTTGGAATTTCTTTTTGGGATGATGAAAAATTTCTGAAATTAGATAATGATGATTGCTGTATCATCTTATGAATATACTAAAAATCACTGAATTGTGTACTTTAAGAGACTGAATTGTATAGTATATAAATTTTTATATTCTAAAATATTTTTAGATTATAAAATAACCTTCTAAAAGATATTTAGGTTCCTCAAGTAAATTTTAGCCAAGATGAAAACACATGGGAAGTGCTTAATGCATCAGGATGTGCCTTTAGAGGAACAAAGGTTTGTCCCATGCCATTAGTACATGTGCACATTAAAAATCATTTTAATGCTCCAAAGATGACTCTCAAAATGACTAAAAATACTTGCCACAGGCCGGGTGTGGTGACTCATGCCTGTAACCCCAGCACTTTGGGAGGCCAAGGTGGGTGGATTACCTGAGGTCAGGAGTTCAAGACCAGCCTGGCCAACATGGTGAAATCCAATCTCTACTAAAAAAAATACAAAAAAAGTAGCCGGGTGTGGTGGCACATCCCTGAAATCCCACCTACTCGGGAGGCTGAGGCAGGAGAATCTCTTGAACCGGGAAGGTGGAGGTTGCAGTGAGCTGATATTGCACCATTGTACTCCAGCCTGGGCAACAAGAGCATAACTGTCTCAAGAAAAAAAAAAAACTTGCCACATGCACTAATAATATGGTTATGTTGGAATAGGAGATGGAGAATGTCTCTAAATTGTTTTATGGAAAAAGAAAATTTCACTTTGCTTTGAACTAAAACTTCCGCAAAATAATTGAGAACTGTAACTTATGAGATTTAACATACATTTTTAAAGTCAGCAAATTCTAATAAGATTGCTAGATATTGGCAATGCATAAGGTTTGGTTTCAATTTTGAGAAAGTTGGTTGTGTTAACTGTTTGAGCCATGAGCATTGTTTAATTTCTGACCACCCGTTTGAATTTCTGTTAACTGGACAATGTGATGCAAATGCAATGTTGAAGATCTACCATCTTGGTCTGTATCCAAGTTAGGGAAGAGTAGTAAGACAAATGGCACAGAAATGCCTGTAGTTGCCCCAGAGTTCATCAACCCATGTTTCATACAAACATGTACACTTATACGCAGACACTGAGATGGTGTACCGAGGGGGCTTTGTCACATCTGAACTTCCATGTTACTCTACCATCGATCAAAGACTTTGGCCGTGTTTCTTAATTTCTCTAAACACGAGTTTTCCTACGTATAAAGTCGGATCTCCTTTGCAAGGATTTGCCAATGTTCAGTGAAATAAATTTAAAATGCCTGACGGGTAGTAGGTATTCATTAGATGCAGGCTGTGCTGATGCTGACTGATGTCAAGATCCTGAATCAGAAAAGCTCCTGCAGACCTAGCGATACCCAGGGCAGGGCCAAACAGGCGGTAGATTCTACATAAATACATGTTCATTGATTAGCTATTTCCTACCTGAAACAAGGCGTACACACAAAAAACAAGTGACTGACTGTCCTACGTCTCGGCCTTAGTGTGTTTTCTTCTGACTTGTAAATGCACCTTTCCCATTCACTAATGCTGGCTAAGGGCAGGATACTCTATGACATCAGTTTCCTTTGGTTACATTTTCCCCATCTAAGAAAGTGTACTCATTCTGAATTATGCCAAACCGTGTAATCTGGAAGACGAACAGCTATTCCAGTTAGAAAGACCTGACTGGGTGTCAGCCATTGCTAGGCAAGTTGTAGCCCTTGTTATAAAATTATTATTTTAAGCCAGACCTAGTGGCTCATGCCTGTAATCCCAGAACTTTGGGAGGCCAAGGCAGGCGGGTCACCTGAGGTCAGGAGTTCGAGACCAGCCTGACCAACATGGAGAAAACCAGTCTCTACTTAAAAATATTAAATTAGCCAGGTGTGGTGGCGCTCACCTGTAATCCCAGCTACTCGGGAAGCTGAGGCAGGAGAATCTCCTGAACTTGGGAGGCAGAGGTTGTCATGAGTCGAGATCACACCATTGCACTCCAGCTTGGGCAACAAGAGTGAAACTCCGTCTCAAAAAATAAATAACTAAAATAAATACATAAATAAATAAATTTTAAAAATTATTATTTTAACTGGCCAAATGTCTTTTGTTTCCAGATTAGTCTTTCCATGGTCCCTGAAACTTTGATGTTATTTTTCACTTTTACGCTAAATTTCACCAAATTAAAAACAAGGAAACAAACAGGCAAACCCAGTACACCCTGAATTTCAAAAGGAAAACTTCCTGTGAGATTTTCTAATTCTCTATTTTCAAGATCTCTGCTTGTGACTGAGCACATTCGTGTTAGTTACCTTTGGGCCACCCATCTAGTCATCTGCTTTCACTGGCAAAAGGAGACAATATTTGCTTATTGTTCATTGATTTGTTTCAGGGGAGCTTTGTTGTATCTTAGTTCAAGCCATACGTGTTAGCATTCATCCACTAAACACTGTAATAGTTTTGGGTTAAATCAGTTTCAGACAGTAGCATTGAACTATTACAGCAGACTGAGTCGTGTACCACAGGCTGAAGCTAGCATCGGGCGCATGCTTCTCCCCGAAGTATAAATTACTATAAAATCTAAAAGTAAAAACATAAGCCAAGGTCAGAGCATAAAATGAAAGACTTTCTGCGGTAAGGTGTTTAACCCAATATCATGTTGTAAAACTATCCGGCTAATTCTCATATGCTCCCTGGCAAGGAACTCAAATCTAAAGTAACCCAAAAACTTGACTGTTGCCTCCTCTAAGACAAAAATTTTGGATCTATTGTTGATAACAAAAAAAAAATAACATCCATTTCAATGGCTTTCCCTCTGTCACCCTCCGAGTTCTGAAACTGCTAAAAACGTTAATGCCCAACCCAAGGGCAAATTCATTTATAGTTGTAAAATTAAGCCTCTGAAAAGCTGAAACCGACTGCGATTCCAGGAAGACCGCTGAGGAGGAGACAGTCTAGCAGATCAATTGAGGAGGCTGCCGTTAACATCACCCTGGGGCCCACCCTTGGCCTGGTCAGCCCGGTGCCCTGCTCCAAGCAGGGGCATTTTGTGTGCAAGGTTGGTAACTGCCGGGGGGGTATTAACTCCTCTCTGTAGCTTCCTCTCAACAGGCTGTTATTGATTTATTGTCTGCATATTTGCCTAAACCCTAAAGCTATTTATCTTTTCACCAGGGTAACAAGTTCTGTATGTATCCAGTGTGCTACATAAAATAGAACTTCTTTTTATTTTTTCCCTTAAACTAGCTTCTTCAAGCTTCAAAAAGATTCTGAGATTTGGGGAACAAGTTCTTACACAGGTTTTCTCTACCTTTCATGACGGTATGGACTTTCATCAGTCCCCTCAGCTTTCGTCTTTTATCATCAACACTTTGATCCCAGCAAGCATGAAGAAACAGGTGGGAGAGGAGATGCTGAACTGTGAGGTGGGAGAGGAGATGCTGAACTGTGAGGTGGGAGAGCAGATGCTGGACTGTGAGGTGGGAGAGCAGATGCTGGACTGTGAGGTGGGAGAGCAGATGCTGGACTGTGAGGTGGGGAGACGGGATGAACGACGCTTGGTGCGGAGCTGAGGGAGGGTGAAGGCTTGAAGGAGTGGTCACTGCACAAGAAATGGCTTCTGGTAAAACACCAGTGATAACTTGGAAGAAACCTCTTCACTTGAGTTTATCTGGCCTTTTCAAGTGATACGGACTTGAGAGAAAGCGATACAGGCTCAATCCCATTACTACCCATGCCAATAGGATTAAAAACAAAATCTTTGTGATAATACTTTCGAAGTTACATATATCAAAATCTCATTGACAAAAAGGTCACCTTCTGTATGAGTTCATCTATGTGAAATGTCCAGAACAGGCAAATCTATAGAGACTGAAGGCAGATCAGTGGCTGCCCGGGGCTGGGGTGAGAATGGGGAGTAGCTACCTAATAGGTTTGGGGTTTCCTTTTGGAGTGTTTTAAAACTAGACAGAGGTGACAAATGCACCATGCTGTGAATGTAATAAATGCCAATGGACTTAATATGGTTAATTTTATGTTAAGTGAATTTTAACTCCATTTTTAAAATGCAAAGAGAAAAATCCCTTACAAAAAGAAAAGAATTTGGACCTCTCATTAACTGTCACTGTAAAGGAGCTTGATTATTACAATGCATGTGAAAATTTACAAATTATAACACAGTTTCATTATATATATTCTGTATATATATATATAGAATTGAATAGAACATATAAGCAATTTGACAAATATTTGAGCATCAGCAACATGCCAGCAACTTTGGAACTAATGGAGTGTCATCAGTGAAAAAGACAAACTTAATCCAGCCTTATGGGGCTTTCACAAATTACCCATGAACTCATCATGCAATTGATGCCGGATTTTTCTGAGCCCCTTTGCCAGACTCATGGCAGGGGTGTCCCTTCTACTTGGCCCACCTTGCTCAGCCCCTTGTGGGTGGGAGCAAGTGAGTGCGGGACCCAGCTGGCTGCTCCAAGCACTGACACAGGAGCAAACTCTGTGTAGGACCCACCGCCAGACCAGGCGTGTTACCTTCAGGGGAATGCAGCAGTGCCCAGGGGAGGGTGCCTGGGACCTGGAAGCCACAGAGGGACTGTTACAGTGTCCTTTAAGTTGCTGTCCACAGATGGCAGTGATGGCAGTGTGTTAGCAGCTCAGTTGGACCCTTGCCTTGTTGCATGGGGTGGCTGCCCTTGGCCAGTGAGGGCAAAGGGCTGGTATGACAGCCTTTCTGGGTACTTGCACTCAGTGGATCCTGAGCTCTTATTCGGCATCCAAGAAGAGTGAGGTCACACTATGGTTGAAGGATGATGAAGGTGGAGAATTGTGCTGAGTAATGAAAACAGCCCACAGCAGAGAGGGGAGCTGGAGCGGGGCTGGGAAGGGCAGGTGGCCTTTCCCAAAGTTAGGTTGTCTCTTCCCTGAAGTCAGGCTGTCTCCTCCTCTACTGACTGAGTCTGGGGTCTTTATAGGCAAAGGTAGGGTGTGCTTGTAGATTGGTTTGTGAGTAAGCAAAGAAGATTAAAATGAAGACACCACTCAAGGGTGGGCACTACAGTGTAGAAAACCAATTAGGAGGCCAGGCACAGGGGCTCATGCCTGTAATCCCAGCACTTTGGGAGGCAGAGGCAGGTGGATCACATGGTCAGGAGCTCAAGACCAGCCTGGCAAACACGGTGAGATCCTCTCTCTACTAAAAATACAAAAATTAGCTAGGCATGATGGCACGTGCCTATAGTCCCAGCTACTTGGGAGGCTGAGGCAGGAGAATCGCTTGAACCTGGAGGCAGAGGTTGCAGTGAGCTAAGATCGCACCACTGCACTCCAGCCTGGGTGACAGAGGGATACTCTGTCTCAAAAAAAAAAAAAAGAAAACCGATTAGGAAAGGGTAGGTATAGGTAAAACAGGTGAAGGGTGGGGACCGATCAGAGGAAAGTGCTCCAAACAGGACGACGAGTTCTCAGTGTGGTCCAAGAATCTCACTTGCAGCTTGGCTTTCAGGCTTTAAACTGCCTTCTGCTGGGAGGTGGGGTTTCCCCGGGGACCTGCCCCGTCTGCCTAGGCGTCTGCTGCCTCCTGCCACTATCACAGTGCAAGAAGCACAGACAGCTGTGGCGGGGGGGGGGGGGGTTAACCCAGATTAGAGGATCATGGAAGGTTTTCTATAAAACCTAACATTGAAATGAAATGTGAAGGTGCCACTCATTCCACAAAAGGGTACTAAGCACCTAGAATGCAGAAGTCATTGATACAAGCCGTGGGGATACAGCGGGGAAGAAAACAAAGTGCTGCCTTCCCAAACCTTACATCACTTTATCGAGAGACAAAGCAAACAAGTCAATATAGGGGTAAAAGTGGCCGAGTGCGGTGGCTCACGCCTGTACCCCAGCACTTTGGGAGACCAAGATGGGTGGATCACTTGAGCTCAGGAGTTTGAGACCGGCTGGCCAACATGGTGAAACTCTGTCTCTACTAAAAATACAAAAATTAGCTGGGCACGGTGGTGGATGCCTGTAATCCCAGCTACTCAGGAAGCTGAGACATGAAAATCGCTTGAACCCAGGAGGTGGAGGTTGCAGCGGAGATTGTGCCACTGCACTCCAGCCTGGGCGAAGGAGTGAGACTCTGTCTCAAAAAAAAAAAAAAGGAGTATAAGTGATAAATGCCATGGAGAAAAATGATATAGGAAAGGCCAGCAGAGAGGTGTGGAGTGGAGGGAGGGCAGAGAGTTGTAGTGGGGGAGGAAGGGTGTGAGTACTGCATCATACAGTTGGGTCAAGGATAACCCTCACCAATAAACCGATATTTGAGCCAAAACTCAAAGTTAGTGAGGAGGGAGCCAGGTTGCTGCCTGGAGAAACAGCAGCCCAAGAAAAAATAGTAGCTGCAAAGACCCAGATACAGAAACATTCTTGGTGGGCTCAAGGAATAACAGGGAGAATAGGGGGCCTGGAGTACCATGAAGGAAAAAGAGAGAGAGAGAGAGGGAGAAGGAGAGAGAGAAAGGAAGGAAATGCAATTGAGAGGACTGCATGTGGCCTTGTTGCCCATAAGATACTGGCTTGACTGAGGCGTGAAGACTGGATGATTCTGGGCAGAGCAGTGATTTTTAAAGGACCCTCTGGCCACTGTGCTGAGAAACTTGACTGCAGGGGCACAGATAAGGAGGTAGAAAAGGGAGTTAGGATGCTGTCACATTTAAGAGACAAGAGTGCTTTGGGCCAGTGTAGACACGGAGACAGTAAGAGATGGCTGGATTCTGCATAGATGTTCTTTGAAAGTGAAACCAGCAGCTTTGCTGATGGATTGGATGGGGGTAACGAGAGAGGGGACGATGAGACCAAGGCTTTTGAAGTTGCCGTTTGCTAAGATGAGGAATACTGTGGGAAGAACAGGTTTGCTGGATGGGAGTCAGAAATTCAGGTTTGGAACGTGTTAGGTCTGAGATGCCTGGGAGACATCCCAGGGGTGAGGAGCAGGAGTTCAGGAGAAGTCTGGACTGGGGAAATAAATTTGGAAGGCATCAGAAACAGATGGTATTTAAGCCCTACCACAGAACGAGATCA